AAGGTGCTTTTGAAAACAGAAACTAGTAATGAGAAAGACATTTTATTAAAAGTTTTTTAAGGCTGTTTTCGGTAAAAGTAGGAGAACTCGAACTATATATATATATATATATATATATATATATATATATATATATATATATATATATATATATATATATATATATATATATATATAAACGCGAAGCACATTTTCAGACAGAAAAATGCCTCGATTTCCATGGAAATTTGCAATATCTTAGCTCGTATCTCTGTTAACAATATAGTGTTTTTAAAAATTTCAAAATACTCCGTGAATATTTTCTTTTTCGTTTTAATACGTGAAAGCGTTGCCCATTTAACATTACGATACAGGATAAAAAACACAAAACACATTTTATACCAGAAAAAATGAATCAACTCGGTTAAAAGGGAAGTATGATAAAAAAAAAAAATACTGCTCTTCAAAGGATAGTGAAGCCAGAATATCATATTAATGTTTCATTTCTTTTATATCTGAAAAAATGTTCCAAATCCAGGTCCTATTCTTTAACATTAATCGAAAACAACCTTAATTAGTTATGTAGAATGATTGAAATCACGAACAAATATTTCTGATTTCAAACATGAAAAATTCCTGAAAACTTTTTAAAATGCTATAGTTATTAAGATTTTGAAGAAAAAATATTTAAAATATATGTATTAAAAAGAAAAAGTTTGTGTTAAAGCAACTTTTAAAACATATAAATCGCTGAAATAAGTTATTTGGCCAAATATTTTGCTCTTTTTCTTTTCAATTTTTAATAATTATTTTAATTTGATGCTGGAAAATGTCAAGCACCTTTTGACAGAAAAAGGTACATTAATTTTTCTTTATTTCTATGAATGGCCGCTATGAGTAAGTGCTGTATTAACGTCGCACATCTATTGGCGATGGATCTCGTAAATTTGAACCACGGTCTTTTGACGAGAGCGACACTTGAGTTAGCACTTCCCTCTCCTAACTACGAAGACCAATGGAAGGGCATCGTCACACGAACTAGAAGACATTTAGCGTTGACAAATTTAACGTGGCTATCAACAGACTTAATATGGCCAAGGTAGCCTAGCAATTACATTCACGAACTCGTAGCCGGAATGTTACGGGTTCGAATTCTGGTACCGCTTAACATACGCCGTGTAGAGGGGACCGATGCACATTAAATCTGTTGAGACTCGGCTCTTCTCCCATTGGCGTGGTGAAGAAATTCGGAGAGAAAGATACCAGCTGAGATGCCGTTCTTGTCACTCGACAATGGTTGAAAATTACGAGGTCTCCAGTACCCTCGTATTGCTTAAAAATGTAACGTTAATATACACCAGAGGTTCCCAAATTTTTTTGCCTCATAGACCCCTTGACAGGTTTTTCGGCTTAGAGTAGACCCCTACTAACCTAATATTAAATTTTTGTAAATTCGTCAACTTAAATATGTTTTTGACAGCAGATTTATAGATCTACTTCCTTTAAAAGATTTAAATTTTTAACTGCAGTGAGGTATAGTGTTTAAAACTTTAGAAAAGACATTTTAATTAATTAAATTAAAATTTAATTAATACATAAAATAACAGAGTATCAAACAAATGCTTTTAGTGGGAGGGATGAATTTGGGGATGCAATAACAAATTTTCAGCATTTGACACCAATCTTGTCAGGTTTAAACTTAAATATCTCCTCGGTTAATAGTGCCCAGTCTTTCTTTCTCTTTTTGTTTTCGAGATCAGCAAGCGCACTGTGTATCTCCTTCTCAACCAGAAAAACAATTAAAAACTTTCTCAAGATATTCCATAATATAGAATAAATAACAGGTATATCTTTTTAAAGCCAAAAATTCTGACATCCGTTTCTAAAATTTACTTTTAAGATCTTCGTTAGTGCCTAATTCTTGTAATCTGACATATTTTTTTTTTTTTTTTTTTACAAAGTGACCATATGAATTCATTGCTACTGTGGCATTACGAAAGTCAAAACATTCTCAAACCTAGCTTCAAAATCTAAAATAAGGCCATTTAAATGTTCGACGTAGATTAAAACGTCTTTTTTTCCTGGTAGATTGTCTGTGACAATTGAGAAACTGGAAAAATTTGCGACATCCATTATTTTACTCTTTTTACTTAATTCTGGCGAGAAGGGCTGGAATGTGGTCCTTGTTTTAATAAAATTTGTGCTGTAGACTTGTAACTATAAATTAACCTCATTCAATTTAGCAAATAAATATGTTAAATAGGTAAAATTTGGTTTCCACTAGAGTAAATTTCCTTTTAAAATTAAAGTCACGATTTGGTTTAATGAGAGCCACTATTGTAGACCCCATTTACACCTCATGGACCCCCAAATTATTTTTTCGATTACTTGGATCCCTTGCAGGTCGTCATAGACCCCTGGGGGTCTATATAGATCACTTTGGGAATCACTTATATACACGATCACTCGTACCATCGATTCATAAAACAGACAGGATCTATAGTTAAACTCCTCCTTTTCCCAAGATGTGTAATACACCGCGATTTTTTTTAAATAAAAAATTAGGTTTAATAATTCTATTAAATCCTGCTTTGTGATGATTTTTCTCAGTCGCATAAAAATACAGCTTGATATTAGAGTATTCCATTGTATTCAGTGTTTCGATTTAAACAAAAAATCAACAGTTCAAAAGAAACAATATGAAGTTATTTATAAAATAAGCCATTACAGCTACTGCTATTCACACAGAAATAATAAAAATCACATTTAAACTTATTTACGAATTCAATCCAGCTTTTCCTGTACCCATATTTACCACAAACATCCACACAGATCCATTCTTCTAAATGAGTCGTGAGATAAAATTAAACGGACCCCATTTGCCATCAGATAGGGAGTTCTTGTCAGGCAATAGGTGTCGTCCATTGTCATGCATAGGACTGAATTGTTATTTCATATTTAAATAAGGCTAATTGTCGCCCAAAAGAAAACTGGGAGCGGTTCTTGGTAGACGCTAAACGGTATCATTTGGTGCTGGGTTTATTTCGCTTTCAACTTTCGGATCGGTTGAATGGGGTTTTTTTTGTCTCAGTTGTGAATTTTGAATTGTCGGTGTTCTAAAAAAATTGCTTAGATTTATTGAATTTCTTCTGATTTTAATTAGTTTTGTACCTTTTTCGAATTATCAAACAGGTGAGTTAAAACTTATTTATGTATACAATTAGTTAGAATCTTTTTATATATAAGAATTGTTTTTTATTATAAATCCAAGCTTATAAATATAAAAGATTCTATATATATATATATATTATATTATATTATATATAGAATCTATATATATATTATATTTTAAATAGAATCTATATATATATTATATTATATATAGAATCTATATATATATATATTATATTATATATAGGATCTATATATATATATATTATATTATATATAGGATCAATATATATATATATATATATATATATATATATATATTGTATTATATATGGAATCTATATATATAATTATATTATATACAGAATATATGTATATATATATATATATATTGTATTATATATGGAATCTATACATATAATTATATTATATACAGAATATATGTATATATATATATATATTATATCATATAAATATAAAGACATGTTGGTTAATTTTTAAAAAAATCATTTTAAATCACTTATTTTAATTACTTATTATTAAATTAAAAATCGCCGGATTATTAAAAGGCTCCGTAATTTTTAAGCCTAGTTCAATAACGTTTATGTCACTATAGATGGCAACGGTAAGCAAATAGTTATGGTCACGAACTCGTGATCCGCGTTATTTCTATGGAGCCGTAGGTTCGGGTCCAGGTTCCACAGAAAATTAGCTTGTTTATTTTATTCATTGAGGTACAAAACTTTCCCTTTGGAGTGAGGTGGAAGTTTAAGAGATTGAGTCTCGAACTCAGGTGTCATCCTCGTCACTGGACAGTGTTTCAAAATTGTGAGGTCTATTTCTTTCTACGTCTGCATTTTATTGTATATAACTATTTGATATTCAAATTGCATCCATATTTAACAGAAATTTATTACTTTATTACACTGTAAAATATTGCTCCTTCTAATTATTTCTATATTATAGTCCAACTGACTGCTTTTATTTACTATATGGGATTATGATATACAGTTAAAAAAAAATTTATTCCATCGTCAACAAATTACAAAAAAATGTTTGAATATAATACAGTTTTTTTTAAAAAAATTGAAAATAATATTGTTTTTATATCTAACTATGCGCACAAGTATTATAGTAGAATACAATTTTCACCAAATGATCTATTACAAGAAACCGAAAATTTATCAGTATTTAATGACTACTTATACACAAAATAGAAAAAGAAACTTTATTCTGATTAAAAACATGAATCAAATGACACAGTACACATACTCCCTTTCAACCTTGTTTAAGCTAAGAAGAGAAATAAATATTTTTATAATTAGGCTATTTTTTTTAAGTATTCATATTTTGTTGGAGTATTTTTTCCCTCTTTAATGTGATCTCGTAATATGACTAGTTATAATTTTAAGTAGGAAAGAGAAATCGATGATTCCATCGATATATACCTTAATATAGTTCATTAAGATCGTATATATTTTCATTTTATTTAACATTCGCTGCTATTCAATATTATAAGTGTTTAAAACAGATATTGTATATAAAAATTATTCTTAAATGTATATATATATTCTGAATTTCAGATTTCAATTCCTACTATTAGTTCACATTCTCCCTACATATGTTTATTTATACAAATTTATATTGTTCAAATTTTTAATCCTTAATAAGATACTTTTAATTCATCCTTTCAACTTCAAATACAATTTTTTAAACCTGTTGTGGAAGACACTTGATCTTAATACAGTTTTTTCAAATATTAAATCACTTTTTATTTAATTAAGGAATAAATAGTAACAAGCAAAAATAATAGTCCAGCAGCATATATAGAAAGAAAAATCGTGAATTGTTTCCCTTTAGCGCAATGAATATAGCGCGTTGGACTTTTAATCCAAAGGTTGTGGGTTCGAATCCCACCTGGGATGGCATGATTTCTGACAATATGACTTCTTTTTAACTATACTATTTTATTGGAATAATTAAATTTAATTAATGAATAAATAGTAACAAATAAAAATAATAGTACAACACACACCCTATACAAAAAGGAAAATGGAAAATTGCAAGGAAAATCGCTTTCTGTTTTGTCACTAAATATTGTGATTCTGTCATATGTGTTTATATATTTATATTAATTGTAATTATTTAATAAAAAGTCACTAAAATAAAATTTTTCTTTGTTGACCTAAGTAGGAATTAATTTAAAATATTTTTTTTATGTTACTTGTTTTTTATAATCCTAAAATCATCATTGACCTTATGCGTCAAAGCTTATTAATAGGTACCATAAAAAAACGTTCCAAAGGGTGATTGAAACACTTTTGTATTGCAGGTCGGGCAGAATCAAAGGCATTCATCGAACCCTACAAAAGTCTGCGCCTGTGAATGTGCATCTCCACCATGTGCAACGAACCACACGAGAAAGGAACATAAATCCTCATCAGAAAAAAAAAAAGCAAAACCAACAACGATAAAAAAAAAACTATTTTTTCCCCGTGAATTTATTCTCAAAAATCCACTCTACCTAACTTCCCGTCTCTCAGAGAGAGACAGAGAGAGAAGATACTTTTTTTATCAAACCAATTCTAAAACTTGTAGTGCAACCGGTTCCTCCACGTCCAAGTCTCTTGATTGGCTGAGAGCACCCGGTAATGGGGGAAGGTGTGACGAACCCTGTCAGGGGAGCGGCATCATCGAGTTCAGTACATTCGACGGCAGAAGTGGTCATAACGTCGCTGCTCTGCGCCGATCCATTCGAAACCTGCTTACACTTGATCGTTGTTGTGAGCTTGGCATGCGTGGTTGCCGCACACTGGGTGATCAACAAACGTAAGGTTGTACCCCGAACAAGCCTTGAACTCACCCACTCCTCGCAAAAGGATAATTCTACCTGTGATCCAAAGCATTCCTCGAATGTTTCTTGCTCTTTAGAAGCTAGTGGGGGTGTAGTTGACACCGGTTTGACCAGAAAAAGTGAACCACACCTACGCCGGCCAGTAATCGTTTGTAAAACAGGCCGTTCTGTGTCCTCGTTAGGAAAAGCCTCAAATTCTAAAACAGCATCGTCAGTCTTGGATAAATGTGCTTCTGACCACCCTTCGAACATCATGGATACTTCAGGCGATGCTCCTCCACAATCGGATTCTTTTTTCACGTGGGACAGTGGTGGTAGTAGTGGTGAATATTCCTTTGTGCACACTGCTGTGGAGCTTCCAAAATACCCCGACGGTGCCATCACCGAAGAAGAAAAGCAGATGCTCTTACTCTACATGCAAACGGGTCATCCGGAACTGCTACTGAGTTCTTCGCAACCTGGGAACATGGGTCCAGTCCAGGGTATTTCGGACAACATGCTCTGTGATCCTGCGGCAGCAGCCAGAGGTTTCCTGGAGACAATCGTCGAAGAAAATTCTGATGATTTGAGGAGTCCAAGCGAATGCGACGAAGCCTCCGTTGGATGGGGTTCTTGGGATGAATCCGATGAAGACCGTTTGACCGTCGTGGAGATGGTCACATCAGCTAACCACAGTTCTGACGCTTCTCCTGGACCAGTGTATACATCTGCCGAGATATCCAATCCTACAGGAATATCGAGTGATCAGTTCTTAAGTGTGGGTACGAGTCCCAATCAATCTATCTCTTCTTTCAGTGCTGGTGAGGACTCACTTCCGGATAGTAGCAATACCAATATCAATCTACTAAATGGTCTGAAAGATGAAACCAATTCTAGCGTGTTAACGTGTGAAACAAGCGTTGATAATTCTTTTTCATTTGGCAATTGTGGTGTTTCTTTTACGGATACTAAAACGTCGCAAGAGTGTGATGATGTGTTTTTGGAATCAAACAGCGATAGTAATCCAACCGACTCGGATGTAAGCCGTCAACAAGGGGTAAGTCCTGTTTTGAATTCTATTGCATCATCAAATGTCAATAACTCTTTTGATACTCTGTGGATATCAGCGGATGATCTGGAAACCCCCTCAGATACACAGGATCCTTGGATTGTAAGGTTTTTAGAGCCTAATGAGAATGCTGATAATGATCTGTCGAGTTTAGATTTTACTGTCAACAGAAATATCAGTAAACTCGATGATTCTCTCTTATTTCTCGGTTCTGATGATATATGTCTCGTACCCTCATCTATCCCTAAAAATGTTAAAGTAAGTGAACCAGAAACATTAATGTTTAGTGACAGTTTCAAAGATTATTTCCTACCAACTGATAATTATTTCCCTGGATTTAATAAAGGCGATGTAACAAATTTAAGTGAATTGGATCAAGAGCATTTATCGATATCTTCAACCGATTCTACTAAATCAAAAGGCCTGAGATGCTTTAGAATTGGGTTTGAACCAACCCCAACAGAACAATTTTCGGTTTCTTATCTAGATGAATGGATGATACCCTACAACGGTGATCAGAAACCCCATAGTAATAATAATAATAGTGATTCCGATTCAGAAAAGCCTAGAACTGAGAGCGATTTACAAGAAACTATGTTTTCTCCCGTCGAGGGAGACATAGTTTACGGTTCCAGCTGGGTGAGCAACCGACCGCTGAAAGAACCGGAAAAGATTTCATCGGGAGCGGAAGTTCATTGCTCAACAGCGCAAACAGAAGTCCGATGTGGTCCCACAATGCTATCGGAATCCCCTCCCCCGGACAATAACCGGAGAGCATTCGAGCAAAGCGTTAGCGACGACGAAACTCCGGAAGTACCAAATTCACTCAGTAGATGGCGGCACCATACTGATCTACAACATTGCCAGGAAGGTACGAGCCCTATCGCTAGATGGCAGCACGAGACAAATTTACATGCATCTGAAGATAAACAAACCGCTTCGGAGGAAAGTGATGATGGTCTCCCGCCACAATTAAAAGAAATATATAGTTCATTTAAGATGAGGGATAACAAAATGGGTCGTATTAGGATAAAAGAAGATAAAAATAATAATTTTAAAAGGTTAGGTTTGTGGGATAATGAATCTAAAGTTACTTTGCCCCCTTTCAATTTATCTAATGCAACAACTGAAAATCTTAGTTCGAAACAAAAGGAATCTAACGGAGGAAGTAGAGAAGAACTTGATGATTTAGATATCGATATGTTTGCCGTAGCCAAGTCAAATGATTGCCAGAAACCAGCAGCCAATGGGGACTCAGATATTGATGATGCTTTGAGGAGTTTTAATCATTTAGATGATTACACGTCGGATGAAAACAGTGAAAATGAAAACACGGTAAATCTAAATGAAAAGCCAGAAAATATTGAATCGGAAGAAATTGTAGTGATCCCTACCCACAATAATACTGACAGTTCCAACAAAGAGTTAACTTCTTTGTCAACAAACATATTAAGTCCTGAAAATCCGTGCTCTGACAATTCAGATAACTGTCCTCTTTGTACCGATCCCAGCTTTAAAAATACTCGCATCAATGACATCTTTTCCCTTAAAAATAATGCCCATGTTGAGCAAGATGTACAGTCTCTCCTGCAAAAAACATATCCAAAAATGGTCCGGCTGTCCCAATCCAATTTAAGTGATTCAGAAACTCTTGAATTAACCTCGGGATCAAACAAAGCAGCAGATTCAATGTCACCCCTAACATCCTCAGACAGCGACGAAGGCAATAGAAAAGTTAAGGAAATCAAGAAAAGGGTTAAAAAACGATCGAAAGAAAATACTAACACTGAGCTCAAGCATGACGATTCTGGTTATGTCGAAGATGATGAAGACGATGACGAAGAAGACAGTCTCGGTGAGAAGAAAGAGAAAAAATCATCTACTCGAACGTTGAATCCTGATGTTATTAGCCATACAAGAAAATCTCTATCCACTGCCTACTTCGAATCGAAATCTCTGAAACCCGAAAATATTCATCCTCAAACAAGCAACTACGCCATTCCGGAGTCTTTCCAAGAATTTTCTAGACAACTAGAACAATCTTTGAGTGGTGAAGAATTAAAAGCAGGATTTTTGGAAGTAGAAAAATGGAATATTCCGGAAAATTTGTCCCAATTTTCTGCATGGCTACTTGATAAGGAATTGAAGAAGATAAGCACGAGAGATGAAATGGAGAAATTATTCGTTGATGACATCATGAGTCTCCGGGAAGAGACCATAGCCAAATTTTTGAAAAATTCGTGTTCAGGGGAAGGAAAAATTTCTCCTAAATCATTAGATTTACTTCCCAGCAGTGGACTTGATAAGCAAGATTTGGTTTCTTTAACGAATGAGAGTTTAGAATTAGAAAATTCAAGTAAATCCCCTTATGAAAGTAACAATGAGGTTTCAGTAGTAGAATCTGATAAAATTAATTCCAAACCAGAAATTTCTGATTTTCCGGCATGCGATTTTCTACTTGAAACGTATAATTATACTTCTGATATTAAAGAACATTCAGATGAAATTATCGATACAAAATCATCAAATCAAAATTCAGAAATTCAAATAGAAAATCAATCTAGTGACGACAGTTCATCATCATATAGAGAAAAAACTGACTCCGATAATGAATTGGCCGAAGAGTATTTCAATTACAATATTAACAAACAAGTTTCAAAAGTATTCGATGTATCAAACAACGATCAAAGCTGCATCACTCCCCGCTCTGAGGAGCAATCGATTACTGAATCAGCAGAAGCTGAAATCGAAACCACTTTAACTACCCCTGAGTCCGAAACCTCAGAGAATATCGAACGACCCTCAGAAGGAAAACAACCCCATCTAATCAATACTTCCGAAGCTGAAATCACGCACCGTAGCGAGCCTACTATTACTTGTAACGAAAATTACGAGCGTGATAGTAGCGATCAGGAATACAATGGCCCAGCTGATATTAAAACAAACCCCACAGAGGTGAAACCACTGATGGATAGCGTTGAGGTATTCAACCCCCATAAACAAGAAACTGAAACGTCAATCAC